TTCTGCCCCCCCTCCCCCCTTCCTTTTGCCTCCTCTCCCCCCTTCCTTTTGCCTCCTCTCCACCCTTCCTTTTGCCTCCTCTCCACCCTTCCTTTTGCCTCCTCTCCCCCCTTCCTTTTGCCTCCTCTCCACCCTTCCTTTTGCCTCCTCTCCACCCTTCCTTTTGCCTCCTCTCCACCCTTCCTTTTGCCTCCTCTCCACCCTTCCTTTTGCCTCCTCTCCACCCTTCCTTTTGCCTCCTCTCCACCCTTCCTTTTGCCTCCTCTCCACCCTTCCTTTTGCCTCCTCTCCACCCTTCCTTTTGCCTCCTCTCCACCCTTCCTTTTGCCTCCTCTCCACCCTTCCTTTGCCTCCTCTCCACCCTTCCTTTGCCTCCTCTCCACCCTTCCCTCGCCTCCCTCTCCACCCTTCCCTCGCCTCCCTCTCCACCCTTCCCTCGCCTCCCTCTCCACCCTTCCCTCGCCTCCCCCTCCACCCTTCCTTCACCTCCCCCTCCACCCTTCCCTCTTCTCCGTGCTTCCCTTACCACCCATCCACCACATCTTTCGCATCCACCCTCTTCTCCATGCTTCCATCACCTCTACTCTTCCCTCCTCTCCACCCTTCGCCTTCACCCTCCGTTTCCTTTACATTCACCCTCCTCCATGCGCCCCCCCCCATGGTGTGAAATGTGTATTCTGTCCTTCAGGGGTCTTTTCATCATCGATCCCAATGGAATAGTGCGACACATGAGCGTGAACGACCTTCCCGTTGGCAGAAGTGTGGAGGAGACTCTGAGGTTGGTGAAAGCCTTTCAGTACGTGGAGACCCACGGGGAGGTGTGCCCCGCCAACTGGACCCCCCACTCTCCCACAGTAAGTATACTGGCCCCTCCCCCTCTCAGGAAGGGGTATGTCCTTGTCCTGGCTACGCCCACTTTGACGATGATTGCATGGGACCTCTGTGTGCACACCTGTTTTTTTTTTTTTAAATCCCGCCCACACGTCACATGACTCAAAGAACGTTGTAACTAGCAGGGCAGAGACATCACATCAGAGCGGGAAGGATGATGGATGTGAATCTTATCTGTGTGATGGATCAGTGAGGGTGGAGTTCCCCTTTTTAATTGGTCATGGGTGTCATTGTTCACAGATATTTCCAGGAAGTCTCTGCTTTGTGAGGATAATGGGGGTTGTGTTCCCGACTACTTCTCATCATGTGCTGGAGATAAGATTCTTAACCAATAGGAGGTTTCTCTGCTTGTGATTGGTTTGTAGTTCTGTGTATGCTCCTCCCCCCCAGATGGAGTAACGCGTCTTCTCTCCTGCAGATAAAGCCCAGTCCGGAGGCATCGAAGGAATACTTCAAAAAAGTAAACGAATAGCCCCGCCCACCGCGCTGACCGCCGTGCCTGTGAAGGGGCGGCAGACCCCCCCCCCCACCTCCCCCCCCTTCAGATATAAAAAAAGGGGCGGCAGACCCCCCCCCCCAATTCCCCGCTGTATAGTAATAATCAAAGATTGTACAATAAACCTGTCAAACCATCTTATTGTCTGTGATTGATTGTTCCGAAGGGGGGAGGGGCCTGTGTCAAGGGGAAACCAATAGGAATCTATTATCAAGAAGGGCTGTGCTTCCTCCTAGCACAGGGAGAACATGCAAACTCCATGCAGATAGTGTCCTAGCCAGGATATGAACCCAAGACCCCAGTGCTGCAAGGCAGGAGAGCCAACCACTGAGCTGCTTCCCACCTTGTGGACGCCATCAACCCCAAGAGAGAGCTGAAGGCGGCCATTGCTACATCCCAATCTGCAGACACCGGTGTGCCGTACCCCCTCCGACTTCTACCCCCGGAAATAGGAATGTCTGACCGCGCACATCACATACTCCATCCAGCTGAGCCCGGATGGTCAATGTGCGGGCCCGGCATCTTCACAAGGGAATGGCAGCCCCCAGGAAAGGTATGAACCTAAACCTCCTGAGGACCGGGCCCCCCGGGTATAAGAAGTGGTGGTCTCCATGTGTCTCTCAGGAAGGGCTATGGCTAAATGGACCCTTAACATTCTGAAGATGTGGCCCCGGATATAGGCCCCCCATAGACTTGAATAGGACTCCCATTGACTTGTATAGAACCCCCATAGAATAGTATAGATGGTATAGATTTCGAGGTTCGCTGTGAATGGCCCCATAGAGTTTCTCTTTCCTAAACATGCAGCACATGGCTGTGACCGGACACAGGAATGATCGGGATTCGTGTCATACATTGAAATACAGGAGGACAGCTGCATGAACACCCAAAACTTCCATGTCCTGATCCTCCACTGAGACAAATATGTCCATGTGTCCCCCCAATAACGTCCGTCCACCCCCCTATATCATTCCGCTGTCTGCAGTGGGCGGGGCCGGAACCGTTCTATTCCGGCGCTGTTTCCGAGGGAAGGCCAGAGCGGTGCACACGGCAGCATGGACCCGCCGCCAAGCCCCAATTCTCCGCTGAGTGC